TATATATATATATATATATATATATATATATATATATAAACAGAGAAAAGTATAAGGAATTAGGAGAACAGAAGTTAAGTATTTTAGTTGTTCTTTAGGTATCTAATTTAAAATTTCTAAGAAAATGGCCAAAAGCCATTGAAAAAATATATTCTGAATATTTATAAAGCAATAAACACATTTTTATCCTCAAAATATTAATTCGTTCCTCCTGAACTCTTCTCAGACAGAAAGAAAAATTTTTGAAGGAAAAAATAACTTGTCTAAAAAAGATGCACATTTATTACCACTCATCATGCAGGTATTTTTTTCCATCCAAATTTAAAAATCTTTTCTCCGAGTCATCAACAACAATAACAAAACAATTACTTTTGCCGTACAGTTTCGATGTTGACCCACTGAGTAGCCATTCTGGTGAGTCGTAGGCGGTTCTCACTGCTTTCTCCTGCCATTCCGAATGGTAGCTTTTTTTAAAACTTTCTTCCCTTTCTCCTTCATTTTCCGTTTATTTTAGTTCAAGATCTTTAATTTTGCTTTTCTTTCTATTTTGCTTTTCACCTTTTACATTTGACGCTGCGGTGTCAAAGAACTTCCGATCCAGGGGTTCACGATTTTTTTCCAGGGTTTAAAAAGGGTTTGCGTGTCATATTCGTGGTCAGTTTTTGCTTGAGCTTACTCGGAGTATCATCTTCTTTTGGAATACCATTTCAGTGTAAGGATTTTTAACTCTTATAGGTAACGTAAGAATAACGAAAAATGATTTTTTATTTTTAATTTAGATGAATAATATATTTCATTTTTAAAATTTCGTTACAAAATATTTTATTTATATTTAAAGTATATTGTGTACCTTTTAATGCAGTTTTCTGGGTAATTCAAAAAACATTTTTTAGCTTTTTTAAAAAAATATCATTTTAGTTGTAAGGATTTTTAACTCTTATAGGTAACGTAAGAATAACGAGAAAAAAAATTTATTTTTAATTTAAATTAATAATATATTTTATTTTTAAAATTTCGTTAAAAAATATTTTATTTCATTTTTTATTTATATTTAAAGTATATTGTGTACCCTTTAATGCAGTTTTCCGGGTAATTCAGTAAACTTTTTTTAGATTTTTTAAAAAAATATCATTTCAGTGTAAGGATTTTTATTTCTTATAGGTAACGAAGAATAATGACGGATATTTTTTTTAATTTCAAAATTAAGTGAATGATATATTTTCATTTTAAAATTTCGCAAAAAATATTTTACTTTCAATTTTATTTATACTCAAAGTATATTCCGTCACTTTTAAAGCGGTATTCTAGATAATTTCCTCAACTTTTTTTGTAATATTTTCTGATGATATAACTTTCAATGTAAGGATTTTTTAACTCTTGCTTGAGCTCTGTACTAGAAATAACGAAAAATTGTTTTTATTTTTAATTTAAGTGAATAATATATTTATTTTTAAAACTTCGGTGAAGATTTTTCATTTTCATTTTTTATTTAAAATATATTGTCTCTCTTTAAATGTTGAATTTTAGGTAATTCGATAAACTTTCTTTGCGAGTTTTTCTAAAGAAATATCATTTCAGAGTTATGATTTTGAAAGTCTTAAAGGAGTTTATGGTAACAATAACGAAAAGTGATTTTTATTCCAAATTTAAGTAAATTATAAATTTTTATTTCTGTAATTTCGTCAAAAAATATTTCATTTTCATTTTTATTTATACTTAGAAAGAATCGTGTACCTTTTATAATATTATTTTAGGCAACTCAATATTTTTTTAATATTTACTAAGGAAATATAATAAGGATTTATTAGATAGAAAAAAAAACACTATCTCAAACAATTAATAAATTTCCAAAAAAATTCTTTGGAAAAAAGTTTTTAACTAGCCTAAATTTTATCTGAATAGTTTAAATTCCCAAAAGGTTTAATGAAAACAATTTACTTTCATAAATATCTAATAGTACCACAAATTATTAAAAATATCTAGTAGAATCAGAAAGTATTACTCAAATAACTGGAGAAAAAAAAATATTCGAAATTTCTAAGCATGATACAAAATTTGGTGAAAAATGTACCTGTAAGAAAATCACATTTAAATCACAAATAATTTTCTTAGCAATCATTGCTAATTTTTATTGCTAATTTTTAATTTAACTTTTATGTTAAAAAACACTAGGTGTTATTTTAAATTGCGCTTTTCAAGTAGATAAAAAATTAATGAATTTCATATATTTATAGCTTGAGTTTTGAGAATAGTTTCAGTCTTTATATTGAGTAACTCAATGTCTATCGAAACATGGAAACAAGTACTCAAATAAAATTAACTTTTAAAGATTAAAACAAAATAATACACAAATATTTTTTTCAAATGTGCTTGTAAAAGCAAGCTCATTTTATAGTTTTTTTTTTTAAGTCTTTTATTTGTAATTACATGATGAGGCAGCTACGTTACTAATCAAGCTCATATCAGTGAAGAACATTTAATTCCCATATTAGTAAATGCTCATTATATCTTTATTGAAGAAAAGTTTCTAACGGAAATATTAGTAGGATTTTTTTTTATTGTAGTAAAATATTATTATATGTAAAGATAATATAGTACGAATAATTTTTAATGAAAATCAAAATCATAACCATGTACTAAACTTTAATAAAAAATGTTTTTTTTTAAAAAAACATCCAATTGGTGTACTGCCAAAAGGAAGAGAAAAGTATGTATTCGTGTGGCTGTTTTGTAGGAAGACTAAGAGTGATTGAAAAAATTTATTTTGTTTCGTAATTTTGGAAACAGAACTAAATAAGTTATACAAATAAGTTATTTAATTTAATCATCTACATGATCAGTTTTTATTAATACTTAAAGCGGAAAAACAAGCTTTTATGAAAATTTAAATTTTTCCTTACTATTTATGAAAACACTTATTTTTCAACAAATTTCGCAAAAGAGTATTATTAATTAATTAATGTTTTCAAATTTTAGTTTAAGTGATGTAGAATGCGTGAAAAAAAAATTATTTATCATTTATTTTAAGGGATATAAATGATCTAATCTAATGGTCTTATACAGTAAGTAAAATCCCTGGATATGGTAATATAATTAAAAAACAAAATTTCTTATTCAAAATATTTACTTATCCATTAAAGTGTTAAAATTAATAATACATAAATAAATCACTTTTTTTTAATTATTATAGATTAAAAAAAGCAAGAAATACAGAAAAATTATTATTGTTAAACAAAAATTTTACATGTTGAGGTATTTTTATTTTAAACAGATATGCTATTTAAGAAATATTATTAAAATAACTTTCTGTTTCTCAATCTCTCGAAGTACGATATTATGCTTAAATCTTCTAAAAACGTATACTTTTTAAAGAGAAGAAAACTTTTATGCAAATTATTTAAAACTATTTAAACATTTCTGAAAAATATTTTTAATTTTAAGTTTTATTTAACATTTCTGAAAAACATTTTTAATAGAATTAACTATTTTTCACTATTATTATATATTTCATTACATTATTATTATTAATTCATATTTTTTGGTAGAATATTGTCATGCGTAAAAAATGAATTATCAATAGTTTCAAGTTTTTTTAAATAAAAAAAAGAGCTTTTAAAGCATGCGAAAAAATAGGTGGCTGTTTATGTTTGAGAAAATAATAACCAAATAGTTCTACACATTGTTGCCGTTTCAAATTTTAATCTTTAAAATGCTTTCAAAAATTTAAAACTTACATCTAATGATATCGTATGAATTTAAATCATGTAATGTTTGACTCATAAATATTAAAGTACTTTTTATGAAAACGAAGATTGCGTGCACCAAAGTTAAATTTGAAAAAATAGTATTAGTTGTTTGTGTTATAAAATTACTTTATGAATAGTTAAACTTTGAGTTCCATTAAAAATTAGGCATTGATTCTAAAAATAAAGTTCTTATGTAAATTCGAAGTTATTTTAAGTATAAACTTTTTTTGATGTGTTTATAACATAAAATGCGCATTATTGTTATAAGGTTTTATAAATAACAATTCAAAAAATAAAATTTGAAGAGAATTAGAAGTTACTTTTATTTCACGTTCTATGAAACTAACTAATTATCGTCACTACAGAATGTTTATTTTACGATTACATTTTTTTCTCTTACTTCGTGAATTATTTATAGTTCAAAAGGAATAAAAGCAGGAATCTGCAAAAGACTTTGCCATGTAAATTGTATAGCTTACATTTCCAAAAACCTCTTATTTTAATACATTAACTAATACAACTTTTTTCAATATTGATTTCAACCACTAAAACAGTAGTTGTGTTTTCAGTTAAAGTCATGATCTAATTCCTTTATAATTTTATGTAATAGAAATTAGCCTATTCTGTACAATTATAGTTTAGTAAGTCATCAAAAAATACCAATACATCATAAAATCTTTTGAACTAGAGTAAAAATTTAATAAAAACTTTATTAATTCTAAAATAATTAGTAGGCATTTCTCTCTCTCAATTAAAATATTTTTTTAAATTGTAAAAATTTTGTTAAAGTTTATTACATTGTAATAACGGTAATTGTTAAATTTATAAATTGTAATAATATGGTATAACATTTTAAAAAGTTAAATTCTGAACTACAAGACTATTTGATGCATATTATATGCTATTTTTTAATCAATCGATAATCATCGCTCTTTTTTAAATATGTGGATACTAAAAATATTAAATTCTAAATTTACTAAAATTAACTCTAAGCTAAAACTCTTCTTTATACTTTCAACTTTATCATTATTAATTTGTTAATTAAAGCAATGAATATTTTCTTATTAAAAAATAACATTATTATTGTTATTTTTAAATTAGCTATTATCTCGAACAGTCAGAATTTCTTTAATAAGTTTTGCTCTATGCTGTTGCATCTTGATTGTTGTAAACAGTGGTCAATTCTACGTTAGCGTTTTATGCAAGAATCTATGGCTGATATAATTTTGAACAACCAATAATAATGTTTTAGAATAAAATAAACTTTCAAATTTTCTTTAAAGAAATTGTTGCAACCTGAATTTCTTATTCATGGGATAATATTGGTTTAAAGACTTTTAAGGAAACTATTTTTTGCAAATTTATTTAGAATTCATCTTTATTTGTGATCGATAAAAAATTAGAAAGCTTTTTAAGCCAATAACAGCCTCTTCAGTCGATATTTCTATTTTTGAATCACTTAAGGACAGTTTTCACATTTTTTACTGTGCAGAATATATTAAAATGCAATATACTCGAATTGTGACTAATATGGTCGGATCATGTTCATTCTTTATTAAAAATTAGATTTCCGTATTAAAAGTTAGAAAATATATCCTGTATCGTAATGTCAAGAAAAAGGGAAAAAATTATTCATTATAGGGGTCGCAAATTAATAAATTTAGGGGTATAATAAACGAAATATATTAATAAAATCTGCTGCATTATTAATAAGAAAATCTAGAAGAAAGCTGGTTTCTAATTATTACTCTATTTTTCCTACTTCAATCAAACGGGTTTGGTTACGTCTCACCTTCTTCAATAATGCTTTGCTTGATTTCAACAGCATTTTGGCAAAAGCACTAAAAATGCATTAATGGAACGGTCTTTTGAGAAATAACTGCATTTTAAAGAATGTATTGTTGATATAGAATTATTTGCTTTAAAATTTACATTATTTTCTAACTTTAAAAGAATAATTTAAAATTAATGAATCACATCTAGAAACATATTAGTTTAGCAATTATTTTACGTTCGTAAATTGTGGGAAAAGTCGCATATAATTTCTTACAATAAATATAAATAAAGACATTTCCGTTACTTTCACATTACGGGTAATTCACTGGTTAAGTAAAGTATTTTAATTACATTAAATATTGGTTTAAATTAATAATAAATTAAATAATTGATTGCTGTTTTTTTTCTCGTTTCAGATCTCAGTCATAATGAATCGAAAATTCATTTGCCTATCTTTAGCAATATTGGTATTTAGTTCCTGCCTAGTTCGAGATATAGAAGCTGGACACAAACTACATCTGAAAAGAATAGCCAAGATGATTTTAATAGCCAATGCACTTACAGGAAAGAAAATTCTATTCCCCCTACCACTTCCCCTTCCCATCCCAGTATTTCAAGAACATATCAAACATGTTCCTTATGAGTAAGTATTTTTTTGCACAAAATGTATATGTAAATCCCCTTTTTTGTGATTACTTGGTACACTGTCAAAAATTTCTCGGAAAAAATTGGTTTAGCAACAATTGGTTTATTGGTTATTTTATCATATTCGAACGAAACAGTCAAAGAACCATAAATAAGATGGTATTCAAACCGTTAACTGTGAGAAAGCCCGTCTAATAACTGTTTTCCCCTAATACGGTTAAACAACTAATGAAGTCACTTAGTTCCTCGTAGCTGGGTACATGTTATAGCCGAGAGTGTTAATTCAACAATCTCCTGACAGACAGAACAGGGTTTTGAGTTCCAAAGCTGACACCACAATATTTCCTCCATTCCCTTAAACATATGGAGACTTTCCAGATTTGTGACCTTGCAGTATTAACATAAGATTATCTCATTCACGCCTAGATGGCAGCAACATACAGCTGCTTAACACAAAAACGTCTAATATTCCTAAACAAAAAGATAAATTAGTTAAACCACATTCATTGGCTCATTTGATAAAATACAAATCATTCACAGCCTACCTCCAATGTTTATTACCTAAAGAAAAGCCTACCTCCAATGTTCAGTTAAATTTGTATTTTATGGTTTTGAAACCATGCTAGTTGTAAATGGTTGCAAAACTGTATAATTTTGTATGCATGGTCTTTTAACCATACTAGTTGTAAACAGTTCCAAAACCATAAAGGTAGAAAAAAGTTCTTTACCGTAAACTTTACGGTTAATTGAGGGGACAGACAGCTGTCGGTCATTTTACAGTAATTTCAGAATGAAAAGTTCAACTGCGTATTCTTTATGTCCTTGTGTCAGAATGTTGTCCTTCTGAATTTTGGACAACGACTACATGGAGAAATTTTCACCCCGATCCTTGTGTTTTCCAAACACGCCTTTACAAAATTAAATAATTTAAAATTAAATAAAAATTTTATGAAATTAAATGAATTAGATATTACAAAATTTAAACATCCACTATAAGGAAAACTTTTAGCCTCCGAATACAAAAATAATTTTAAAATTTTAGTTAGTCGGTTCAGGAGAGACATTTAAAGAAATAAATTTTTTCTATTACCCTAGCACTTTTAAAAATAAACTGTAGACGATTCTGTTTCGTAATTTATTGCACGCTGTAATTTTCTAACTTTTTTTAATAAAATTAAATAATTTAAAAGCAACGGCATTCGAAAATAAAGAAAACTTATGTACTAAAAAGCGAAATTAATTGCTAAAGAAAAATTAATTTCGCTCTTACGATTTTCATTTCATAAGCCTTACTTATCAAGAATAACAGGCAATAGTTTAAACCTGAAATAAATTGCATTAAAAACTATTTAAATTTGAAAAAAAAAATTAAAACAATTCAAATTTGATTTAAAAAAACTTTGTAATCGTAATTTTAAGTAAACTACTACATTTAAAATAATTCAAACTTGGAAAAAAATTTTACGATTTCCATTTTATAAACTCACGCCTTACTTATCAAGAATAACAGGCAACAGTTTAAACCCGAAATAAATTGCATTGAAAACTATTTAAACATGAAATAAATTAAAATTAAAACAATTCGAATTCGATAAAAAAAAAAATTTCAATCATAATTTTAAGTAAACTACTACATTTAAAATAATTCAAACTTGGCAAAAAAATTTAGTGTCGCCTAGCTGCGTGCATTAAATCAAAGTTCAATATCCTAAATAATCTTAAATATTTTTGAATAATAGCAAATGTTTATTTACGCCTTTCAAAAAAAGCCAATGTTCCAAACTCATAAGTTGCCCATTGATTTTCTCCTTTACGACTTTTTGATTATTTTTATCTAAATCAGGAGGGAAATGACAAAATTCCAACTGAAACTCCATCACATTACTTTTGCAATTTTAGGAGGAAGGTAATTTTCGTGTAATAATGTTAGAAGACTTTTCAAAATTACTGGTTGAGTTATATCCGCATGACCTGAATATTGATATCGTCTACTTGTTATTTTTCACACACCGAAATGAAAGAATTTTAAGTATTTCTGTGAAAATTGGCAATAATAATAAAAAACTATTCCTGTTCAAACAATAGCTTGAAGGAAGTGATGTTTTCATAAAGATAGTAAATTGAAATACTAAAAAGAAATTACTTTTATTTTTATTACAAAGCCAGAATATTTACTGCCATTCTTCATCGTATTCACCTATAAACCATGGGAACATTACCATGTAGATTTTATAAATCGAAAACGAATTTGATCAAAATAAATTGGTGAGAAATTCAAGTTAATGTAGATTTCTGTCGCATTCTTTTACTTAGTTCTATATTGAATTGTCCCTTTAACTTGATAATCTATTTTAGCAGTTCCCAATTTTTTTCCGCAATTGAACCCTAACTGATCAAACTTCTATCGATGGAACTTCAACTTTATAAAAATGTATATAAAGGTAATTGTGAACGAATTCAACAATAATATAGTACTTAATTTCAAGAATACTTAATAAGACAAATGAGAGTCGTTTAGGCTTAGAGGATAGAGCGTTGAACAAGGTGAGGTAAACCGGGTTCGCATCCCAGCGATGGCTGGTCTATACGAATTCCGCCCCTGGCTCGCACCGACCACAGTGCAGACGTAAATTATCCTCAATGGTAAACGGATTATGGGTTAGAGTCCTCTTGCCGTCAGGCTAACCGTGAGAGGTTTTCGTGGTTTTCCTCTCCAAGTAACGCAAATGTTGATGAGTTCCATCAATATGACCTCTACAAAGGCCAATTTTAAGCATAAAATAATACTTAATACTAGGTTATACTTACACATATTAAACAATACTTAAACCAGGAGTTTCCTTGTCTTCCGGAAAGGATTTAAAATTACATGGCTACGGAGTTCAACATTAGTAATCGTAAACCCGAAATTGGGTCGGCTGTTCAACCACGGTTATAAAATAAAACCGGACGAATGACCACAGGGCTGACGTAAAATATCCTCAGTGGTAGACGAAACATATGTTCAAGTCCTCTTTACTATCAGGGTAGCCGTGGGTGCTTTTCACGGTTTTTCTCTCCAAATCAAATTTGGATTAGTACCATCAGTAAGTCCTCCACAAGGGCAAGTTTCTCTCAATACTTGATCCAAAAGTTCCCTTGTCTTCTGGGTTGGATTCAAAATTACAAGGCTTCAGAATAAAGCATTTTCGGTTGTTAACTCAAAATTAGGTCGGCTGTTATAGAATAAAACAAAAGGATGTTTTTCATTAATAATCTTAGTTTAGATTTTTTGTCCTACAACTGAATTCGCAGTCCCAGAGCTTCGTCTTGTCTAGTACTGAATTGATTTTTGGTGTATATACATGAACTGAAAACGAATAAAATAAAATGAATTGTGTTTTTTTTTTCAATGAAAACTAAAAAGAACTGCTCTAAACCTTGAAAGCGATTATTACGGAAACATATTTTTTAATTAGCAAATTTAGTTTGATATGAAAAAACCAGTGGTAAATAATATTTTTTTTTAAAAAATGCAAGTCTTTTTCCTAATTTATTTAATATATTGTTATTAAAGGAATTATGTATTTATTTTTTTATAAATTGCCATTACCTTTTTACTCGCCTTTCAACCGAAATATTAAATAAATAATGGCTTATTGATTAGATTTAAATATACTTAATAGTTCAAAAATCCTCGCGTTTTAGAACGAAAGTTCTAAATGTTAGAACCCCTTTAAACGTTCACGAAACTCTAGGGTTCCGCCAAACACCATTTCGAAACTGCTGATTTATTTTAAAAATTGATAAATGCAAGAAAAAAAAGGAAAGTCTATTTATTAATCAAAGCTATGTTTGGCAAATTAGTTTATATTCTTAAAAAAAAATATTTTCCATAAAATGTGTTTTGAAAAATATCGTTTAATGAACCATTACCAATGTAACAAATTCAACTTAATTACACTAAACCCTTTTTATTAAATCACGTGTTTTGCTCAAAATGTAAGATATTTTAATATTTTCAGCGAGCTTTTATTTATTTTATACTTTTCTTAATGCTTCTACTACCAAATTTTTCTTAAATTAAATAATAAAATAAGTAAAAAATATCATTTATATTGCTATTTATTGCAAAACTTTCGGCTAAAGTAAACATAAAGGAATTAAATATAAAGCAACAAAATATAAAGTAATTAAAAGATCCTGTTTAAGTTGCTCGTACCACGCATTTTTTCTTAGTGTCAAAAATAATTGAAAGTAAACATATTTAAACAAATATAAACATAACTAACGAATTACAGAAGTTAAGTTTATTTTATAATTGAACTTGATTATATTAACAAATATATTTAAAGTGAAAAATAAAAATAATTTTAAAGAGTATTAGAAAATACCATACTTCAGACTTTACTGAAAACCATTTTTAATTTAACGTATGAATTAATTTAGTTAGTTACTCAATATTAGTTCCTAATTCAATGTTTATATTATAATAATTCAAACTAAAAAAATTTATTTAAATCAAATTTTAATTTAAAAGCAAAATTGGTTTTCAATTAAAAGCTTAGTGTAAGAAAGTACCAAGTGACATTATAAAAATTCGAAAAACGTTGAATTTAAAAAATATCATGATGTAACTTACTTTTTTCTGACTAGTGTTTCGTAAACAGCTTCCTGTTATTTCTATAGTTTCTAAAGCTGACCTAAATTCCATAAAATCTCATTTAGAACCTTCATTTACTAACTCTTCAAATATGTGCTAAGTTTTCTGCAATTACAAAAATGTATAACTTCTTAAATATAGTAAAGAAAGTAATACTTTTGTTTTAAATGAAAACGATTAATTAAAAAGAATCAAACTATAATTTCTTCTTTTTTTATTTTATTTCAAATAATTTTTCATTCACAGAGCTTCCTATTGTTTCAATATTTTTTTTAAACTGATGTTCCCTAATTCACTAAAATGTATCATAGAACCTTCTTTCGCTAATCTCTTCAATTATATGTTATACTTTCTGAAATAACAAAAATTTAACCAAAATGACTTGCGTCAAAATTTTTCAGAAAAAAATAAAAGGAAAAATAGCAATACTTTTCTTTTAAAAACGAACGATGCTTTTTACAACAGTCAAAAAATAGTTTCCTCTTTTGCTTGAAATATCTTTTCAATCTATTTCCAGTTCTTCTTCTCAACATTCTTCATTCATAATACTTTAAAAACAGAAACTGGAATAGATATTCGAACAGAGGCTATTCATCTAGAGCAACGCTATTCTAAAGAATATTATTAACCAAAAACAAGTTCATATTATAGCTCTCATCTGCATTTTGATTTCTATGATTGATCTATTCAAGAACTCTTCTTTTCTTTTGTTAAGTTTCTTACTTTCCTTTTAACAACCTATAAATCTAGATTTGAATTTTTAATCAAAAACTAAGGTCATGATTTCTTCACCTTTCTATATATTTTTGAATCATTCAATTTCTTATCGGAGGACCAATTTAATGATGATGACCAGCTTTCGATTCTTTTAGAATCACGACTGCGGTGTTAGAAATCGTTATCTGAAAACTTGAAATAATTAGATTTCCATTTTATGCGTTTAAGAATCATGCATTAAAACGAAAGAGATAGAAATATTTTAAGTCCTATTTTCAGCTTTTCCTGGAGTGTTTTGACTTCCTCATCATCAATCAAACTAAAACTTTTGGCTTATAGTGCAATTTCTATAAGTTTTATTTTATCATTGTTACCTCTTCCTTCTTTAGGCTCTTCACATCATATATATATATATATANTATATATATATATATATATATATATATATATATATATATATATATATATATATATATATATATATATATATATATATATATATATATATATATATATATATATATATGTTTGTGTGTGTATGTATATATAAATTAATCAGACAAGAGAACAAGGGGAGAGATCTCGGACTCATTTGCAATTCAGTGCATAATAAAGATTTTGTTACATTTATAATTTCTGCTTCACACATTATCGGTAGTAAAATGGCTTTAAAATATAATTTTATAGTTAAAAAATCATTTTAAGTGGTATAACCAATTAGATCTTGAAATTTTAAACCATAAGGTAATCATTATTTCTATTTAATTAATTCAATTCAAACAAAAAATCTGCTTTCTGGGTAAGAAATACGTAAATTGAAATCAGCACTCATTATTATTATTGTAGCAATAGTACTTTATTTACGTCGTACTGGAGCAGCACACTAGGGTATAGGTGATGATCTGGGAAGCATGGCATGCATTGATCCAAAGACACGCATAACAATTTTGATCCTCTCCGACGATCAGCGAGCGAAATCAAGCACTTTACGGTAGAACAGTAACGAGAAACGATGCCGCACACCCTTGGTCCTTTCTTAGACAGTCAGTAATGCTTGACTTCTATGGTCTACTTGGAATTATGATCTACTGTTTAACGATCAGGCTCAACTGTGCGATCACTTATTTGGGTGTGGATATTTTCATTTACTATAAGTTACTCATTACAGTGTACTAAGAATTTATTTTTCTAACAGTGTGTTTTAAAATAAAAGAAAGAAAGAAACTAAGTTCTATTAAAATTATGACTCAATTTCAGAATTAAGTTAAAATATAGATAGAATTTAGTTTTACTCATCCTAATGTTTGAGCATTGACTGAGTTCAAATTCTGATCCGGTTCCTTAACTCTTCAATTTAGAGTTTTCGTAAATAATTCAATATGGTAGGCATAAAATAACACGAAAATTACCGTGATGTATCTTACTAGTATTATGGATATAAAATTTAAAACATCATGGATATAAATCTGTACATAATAATATTAATAAAGAAAGTTTATCTATCAAACTCCAGTGTTTAACGAATTGTTTAGTTTGGTTTAACAAAATGAATTTTTTTTTCCTCACTAAAAAATATTATTTTTATTGTTGTTAATAAATGCGAGAAACAAAATGAAAATTACTTTCATCAGCAATTATTTGTTACTACAGTAAACAATTTAAAAGAAAATATCACTTTAAATTGCTAGGACAATAAGAGGACAATAACAGTAAAATATATTAGATACTCCTCAATTATATGCATCTAATAATTGTTTTATACAGATTTTCTGACATCACAATTCTTTAACATGTATTTTTTATATTTTAGGGCTATGGACTATGGCATGGGTGGAGGCTATGGAGGTGGCATGGGAGGCGGCTACGGTGGCGGCATGGGTGGTGGCTATGGAATGATGGGAGGAGGCGACTATGGTATGGGAGGCATGGGTGGAGGTGGTGGATATGGCATGGGAGGAGGTGGAGGATATGGTATGATGGGTGGTGGAAAAGGCGGTTATTAAAAAAAGCATGAAAAATGTTTTTTCAAAAGTATTAAATCTTGTTCACCTCTTCTTCAAGAATACAGGAGAACTAATGTCAAATATAGTGGATAAAGAATTCATTGTAAATATTTCATCCTCATTTTTATGTACAAAATGTTTTAAGGTTTGAGGTATGTTTATGACGGTATGGCTGATGTATTTTTTTGTATATAGGTATTTTTCTATTAACATTTTGAATCGTATTTTGTTCTAACGTTAATATAAGTTTCATAGCTACACTACACAACATTCGAAAAAAATTAACTGTACAACTAATTATAATTTTTCTCTTAAAGAAGTAGAACTTGAGTAATCTAATTATTATCTCGAAATATTTACAATGATATGTTAACTATAGTTTACAATATTTGTTTTGGTCTCTATTTTAAAAGCATTGTTAGAAATAATACCAGGGCCTGATTGAGTTAGAACACATAATAGAATAATTTGCTGATAATTTCCCATTCAAAAAGTTTATGAGGCTTTATAAGAATAGCGTTCCCCATCTACCCATGTGATTAACAGGCCCTGCATGATCCAGTAAAATTAATGTTTATTGTTTCAATCGAGTTCAATTATAAATTCAATATACATATTGGCAGTAAATATTATAGTACTGGAAATATTGCAAAGATTTATGATTACATTATAAGGTAGTAAATTTTCTAATATAATTGACTAAAAGAAATGGAAAGTCAGAAACGAAATTTTAATCCTAAAAATTGCAGAAATATCACTTCAGATCTAAGCTGCTAACATATTATCAAATGATTATCATACGCTCATAAAGTTCTATCCAAGTAAAGTGTCAGCTGAATTTATTTGAATTTAAATTTATAAATGCAAGAGATAAATAAATTATGCTACCATTTTGAAAACCGAAATAAAATCTAAGAAAAATCCGTAAGAGTTAGCAGCTATGGGAGGGATAATTAATAAATAAACTAATAGAAAAAATCTTTTTTTAACTTTGTTCGATTATACTACCTTACTATCACTGCCTGTGTCACTTTAAGAAAGGGTATCAAGAAATTATAATGATATAATCCGAACGATTGGTAACAAGAAATTTACATTGCAAGAGTAAGCTTCTATTTTTCGTCAACTTTTGCAACATTTTTTTTAAATTTTATTATTTTAACATGGTCTTTCGAAACTCTTCCTCCAAGAAAAACATAAAGGTCAAAACTTGAAAACAAAATTTCAAGCGTTATATGCCATCTTGCTGTAAAGAATTATCTGGGCCTCAGAGCAGACAGTTAATTAAAATATTTCAAAAGTTTTTTAGTTTCTCTAAAAATCGCCGAGTTGGAGATAGTTTCCCCCTTTATGAAAATTAGCAGTGCCTTCAAAAAACAGCTTTAAGATGATCTCAACAAAATAATTAGTTATCTTTGTTTTCTAGATAAACAAATTTATAAATAAGGATGTCAATAATTTCTTGTTTCAACTATATGAGTTTTAAAATTTGTGAAAAAATTGAAACGGATGGAGTCTGACTGAAAGATTTTGTCCAGATTTTTTTACTTCCCAAGCATTTATAAACATTCAAAATGTGACATGCTATTGTTTGTAAATAGAGGTTCATTTATCTGTACAATGACTAAGAGCTTGAAAATTGTGCTTATTATTTAATAAAAGCAATAAGGAAAGTTTCTTTCTTTCTGCAATCAAGTTCATTGTTTTAAAAACATGTTATTCAAATTTTAAGATACTTACAAAAATTTATATCAAGAACTTTTTTGTCTTCCTAAAACAATCAAGATAATAATACTTAATGGTTATTACATTTTTTAAATACTTAAAAAATTTCAAATCTTTTGATATTTTATAACATATTTTGGCTTTTTAAAATAATGAGTTTTGGCAGATTGCTTGGGAATATGAAGATTTTTTTAATGAAGTAACATTTTTTTAAACTTATTCAATTTATTTTGTAAGCAATTGATTCTCAATTTTTTCACTAACAGGTTACGTATTGAAAAAAAAATTATCCATTCTTTCAATTGTTCAAAACGTTTCATAAATATATCTTATTATAATTATTAATAATAAAACTATGAATATCATTAATTTTATAAACATTAACTTCAGTCCTAACATTCGTAAAAATCTTTCCTAAAAAAATAAATTACAACAGTTTAACAACATTTGCTTTCATTTAAAAAGTATTTCAGTTATTAATATTTCGTCATAATCAATGCCATAATTGTACATATACAAACATTGTGATAAATTATGTACTCATTTACAATCTGTAATATATGTAAAATGTTCATTATAAGAAATATATTGTATATTTTGTTGTATAAAAATTGCCCCTGTCGTTTAAGGCAATAAAACATTTTATAAAAAAAAATATCCCTGCTTTGTTGTTTACATGACTCAGATACACACCTATGCAAATACTGTTTGTCTACGATAGGTACTCTGTCCGCCACAAAGTCTGCGGCAGTCTGGTGCTATGGAAACAAGAAGAGAGCATTTTAGGGAGGGTGGCTTCGATGAAGAGGTCTCCTTTTCTTTCGCCTTCGATGATAGCTTGTATGGGGAGTATACCAGATTGGCTGACTCAGCCACCAGTAGGAGACTTATTTAATCTGATTCAAGAACTTTTTTAAGATTCGCATGAATATTTCTTTCTTACTTAAAATAATTCTCTCGATTCAATCAGTTGTTATTTTTTAAATACAAAGGAAAAAAAGTGAACAAATTCTGACATTAAGGGTAGTACAGGTTTTTTTAATATTACTTTTTAATTTTACGATATTTATTATGAATGTTCATTGATTGTTAGATGGTTTAATTTCTAAACTTGCACATTTTTTAAAGCAGTTAATTTCTTTTATTACTTGAATTTTCTGGAAAAAGTGAAGAGCTTAAACTTAATAACTCTGATTTTAAAAGGAGATAAAACTTTTGCTGAAAATAAAAATAGTTCACGTTATCTGTGCCGGAGAAATATTAAATATCTTTGTTTTGATTATTAATTTTTAAATATTTTATTTTTTTTTTTTTTTGAAACTGAAAGCAAGTGACCGCAACTAGGATGAAATCTAAAACTATCAACGATGATTTTTATCAGCACCCATCAAACCATCTGAAATTATCTGAAGTTTTTTTTGCTTAAATTACGTTTTCTTATTCATATTTTATTGTAACCTGTACAGTTTTTTTTCACTATTTATTAAAAACAGTTTTTATTAGCAAATTTATTTTTTTCTTAATAACCAATTTACTATGTATGATAAATTTATAGATGAGTTATTTATTAATAAAACATTGAGCTGCTTTAAACAATTTTATACAATTTCCATACATATCCTATTTATCAATCGTTATTCATAGAAATAACAATTTCAATTTGTCATTGTATTTGGACAAATGGCATCGATGAAAATCAGAAGAGAGCTGAAACATAAAAAGGAACAATTTATTCAAGCTATTAAATTTAATAATTAATGAAAGAATTCCTGAAATTTTGAAAATGTTCGTTACTAATGCTTCTTTTGTAAAAACACGGTATCTCTTTTAAAACCATTTGAAGGCCAGGGAAAACATCAAAAGGGTTTTTCTTCAAAAGGTCTGAACATGTGTAAAAATAAATATTTATTCTCCAAACAGGAGTTTGGCATTTATGAATAGTACAATAAGAAGGATACTCTTTATTATGAACATGAATTCAAAAAAGTTAAAGGAGGAAAAATAAAATAAAAAATTTACAACACAAATAAATTTTTTTAATTTTTTTTCTGAAACAGAAGCTTTTGAAAAAGAGAAAAGATTAAAAAAAAGGAATCAAACGCTCTAAACGATGTTTCAGGCGCGAATGCTCATTTCTCTTAACTCTAGGGCTAATACAATAGATCGAAGAAAGAAGTCTCCTTTTCTCCCACCGAAACCAGTCTTAAAGAGGGACCCCGCACCCCTACTTGAAATAATCATACCTCGTTACCATAGTCACCGCCACCCCTCCAGACGAACGGCGGACAGAGTACCTATCGTAGACAAACAGTACTGTTCACATTACATTAAATTACGTAATTTGATAATGCAAAAAGCAAAATTTAAAATCTATTAGTTACTAAAAAATTTTTAATTTAAAAAGTCAGAAATACGAATATTTTAAGATATATTGTTAGCAAGACAGCACTTCATCAGGGGGCACATTGCCTGCCAGCATACAGGAGCCTTTCTGTTGTCAATGGTAATACCAAAAACTCAGAGTGCCCCGGAGGCCTCATCATGGATAAATAAATAAGAAAAATCAATTAGAAAAATCCAAATGTAATAGCAATGAAAAATTATGATATGGCCATTTATATTTTATTTTGGTTATTCTAACTAAAACTTTATTTATTTTTCTTATATGAGAGCGTTTCATTATTTAGTCTTACTCTGTATAATTTTAAATTGTGTTTATTTGTCATTAATTTTTCATTTCTTTTACATTTAAATTTTTCCAATTGTTTTTTCTTATTTGTTTATCCATTATGGGGCCTCAAGCATAACCACCGTCCTTAATAACATTGCAATTTTTTTTCTAAAAGAATAAGTACTATTTCTTCATTAATTTTTCTTTTCAGAGCTTCATTTATTTATTTATTTCAATTTGGTACCTATTACTAAAATTAAGTAAACATCATTGATATCAAAAATAGTAGGGAAAGTTTTAAACTTTATCCTAAACGAAACAAATCAGTTCCATTTCTTCATTAGTTTTGCGGTTTAGTAAGTAGCCTTAATTAATAAATACGATCAAATTAATGAAACATCACGAGAGTCAATAATAGTATGTCTAATTTTAATATTTTTTCAATGTGATTTGCTACTATTTTCAAAATATAACATTTCTGTGCACAGCTAAGTTATATTTGCAAAATATAACTTAGCTGTGCTTATATTTGCAAAATATAACTTAGCTGTGCTAACACTGAAATTAAAACCATAAATATAACTTGAAAAAAGAAATTGTTCCAATCAGATTTGCATTACAACAGTAAATAAACTAGGTTATTAAAAAAATAAACTAAAACATTAATCCTCTAATTCAGCAAATTTTTTTCAAAGGAAGAACAAAAAAAAACTTTTTTCTCATTTTTTACATTGCTAAAAATATCTCATTTATTTTTATTGGTATTTAAAACTATTCAGGGACCAACTAACAACTTAAGGTTTCAGTTTTAAGCTGTGGATCATAGGTTGTCCATCCCATGTATGACAGCTTCTGTGCTATTATTGTTTTATTTATTCATGTTTTCATATACATAGCACTAAGTTAACACTTTTCATTGAAATGTAAATAAGCGAAAAACTTTTTTTTTTCCATTGCCTACCAGATTTATAATAAAAATTCTGAAATTCACTTAGCAATACATTGCAAAGGGAAATCTTTGCATCAACCAACATTTATTGAAGCAAACATTTATTATTTATACAAAACAAAATTAATTGAATATTAAATATATTTTTTACCAACTTAATAAATGCCTTAAATTATGAGAACTAATATTCGGAAAAATTGATGAAAAACTATTTAATTAACTAACATAGGGTCATTTCATATTAAAGTTTTAAAGAAAGTAATGCAATTAAGTAATCATATAAACTTTGAGAACAAAAGATTCTTTGAGAATTTAAAAAACTCACACAAAACACAAATTATTTGATTATATTAAATTTTTTTATTAAAAAGAGACTCACATAAAAAAGAGAATGTAGAAATATAAAATGAAAATTGTTAATTGGTACTCAAATGAAAATGCAACAAATTGTCCACAAAAGAGAAAGTGTTTTCAAAATTAAATGCTTTTAAAAGTGTCCTACATTTCAGACCTTATTCAAGATGAAAAGAAATATTTTTATACATTCATCAACATATACTTACATACAAAAATAAGTGAAAATTTATTTAAAAAAAATAAAGAAAAAAAGTGTAAATAAAAATGTATCCAATACATAAAGATATGCATAATGTAAAGATATGCATAATGTATGATATGCATAAGATATGCACAAAACAATATTTCAGTACTTTTAAAAGTACAATAATACTAAAAAAGAGAGCTTATACTATGCAGTTAGACATGAACCATACAAAATGATAAAGCAAATTTAAAAAGAAAAAATTACATCTCTGGCAAACACAATCATAAATTTTAGACAACATATCAGATTTTTCAAAAATAAAAAGATACTTAAACGTCTTTTTTTCCCAAGAAAAAAAGTAGTTTATGAATTTAAAACCTCAAAACATATGATTTCAGAGTACAATATTGCAACTATAATATGTCTTATACTATATTATAAAATGTGTTATTTTCTAAAACTACATCCTTAAGAAACTACAAAAGAAATTTCGTTACAAATTTATTAGTTTATAGCACAAAACAACATAGCTGCAACAATTTTTCCTAGAAATTTTTTATGATGGTAGTTGAAAAGGCGAGAAAAAGCATTATTAAAAATATTTTATATATTTTGTCAGACTTTTACATAAACAAAGCATAAATTTTAGGGTTTTACAATTTTTTTTATTCTTCATGTTGTTAGTTTAAAATACTTTTAAATAAAATTTTACAAACTGAGAGTAATATATATTAGTCATCACTAGAAAATATTGTTCACATAAACTGCATAAGTTTGCAGGTATGCAAATAATAAAGATGTTTCCTCATTTACCCATTTAATTTTATATAAGCTTCTTTTTACTCAACAAGATTGATTCTTAACACAAGTCTATAAAATTTTATTTGTTTAGTGACTTAATTTTTTTTTTTACACATTTTGACTAAATAGTAGAAACTCACTATAAATATTATGTAACAGTAATTGTGAGTTATTATATAAACTATTCCATTATTGTAATACCCTCAAGACTTGCATTCAAACATACCTGAGGTAGTTGATTTGCTTACATAGAAAAATTGTTTTAAAAAAAACTTATATATTCCTTATAGTTAGAAATAAGTTAAATTAATAAATGTCTAACTTAGAAATAGTAAAATTCAAATTGTGATGTTGCATTGAAAAGCAAATATTTATTCATGCAAATCATATGAATGTTTTTTGCATTAAAAAGTCGATTTTTAAACTATTTAATTTTATGATAGTGTCTAATATTTTTAATGTAACGTTCGTGAATTTAGAAAATATAGATAACAGATTATTTCCTTAAATAATATTGCAGTAACAGACTAATCAAAAGTTTGCATGCTTCTGTAGTGTTTTTTAATAATTCGTCCTATAATTATACAAGTGGTGTAGTTAGTTTTAAACATTTGATATTCTGTTCCAGCAAGAGCTGAATAATCAGGATTATACGATATTCAGCTTAATGTAAATTATAAAACATTTTATGAAAAGTACAAATCATGAAGCGGCCCAGCTTAGATTTTAGGCAACAAAACAACCACATGTCTTTTTACATTTTATAGTTAGCTGAATTATAAAAATAAACTGCATAACTAAATATGGTGGGAAAAAAAATGTTCCTTTTATGAATTAATAAATAAAATGATTCATCACCAAAGAAATAACTGTACAATTTTAAGACTAAAAACATCTGTGATTAATAACATAATAGCTGATATTCAATTCAAAATTGAAAAATATTTGAAAAATATATTTTTTTCCCCTTTAATTAGTTTAAAAGCTTATCAAAAATATCCTCTGAAATAGGATTATCAAAAATAATCTCCAATTTAATACTAAGACTGGAATACAAGTCCAATAATAATCAATAAAGCAAAAACACAAGAAAATTTTCTCAGTAAAAACAGTATGAATGCACAGTTAAGTAATATATTTCTTTAGGAATTGGTTGCAGAAAAGGCACTTTTCCCTCTAAAAAAAAAGAAAGAAATTATGTAAAAAAACAATTAAAAAATAAACATACTTCCATTTTATTGCATTTTTATTTGCAATATAGCTGTTTTATTAAGTGTATGAAACAGGCAAAAACGTAAAATCAATCCTATCTTATGTAGTAAATAATGTAGGGGGAAAGTACGCAAACTTATTTATTTAAATTGGCTCTTACCAACAATTGGTGTATCTGGACTTCAGTTGTCATAGGATTAAGTCCTTCCATTGTTTCAAAAACTCAACAATTTTAACTTTTTTTATTAAAAAAAAAATACTTCAAAGTACAAGTTTGAAATATGTCTATGTTTAATTCAGCATTTAGTTTCATTTTGACCTAAGTTTGAACTTTAAAAAATTTGCTTTAACAGATGTTTTCTGAGTAACTCAAAATTCTTTCGTGATAATAATGCATAATTAAAATCAGCAATGTGTTTGCATATAAGGAAAGTTTGTATTTATAAATGTCGGACAGAAATAATTCAGTGAAAAATGACTCTTGAAAAATAATAATAATAATTGGAAATTGCAAAATCTTATAAAATAATTGGAGATTGCACTCAGGCTAGGCCATACTTAAGGGGGGAGAGGGGAGGAAGGACTCGGAACTGCTGAGGACTCAACCAAAATTTCTCTCAGAAAATAATGTTTATTAATTAGTTTCTTAAAAGAAATTTGCATAGAATTTCTTTATATCTATATATATAAATTAGTGTGGCTGGGTGGCGCAGTTGGTTTGTCATCCCCAGCCCAGACACCGGATTTTCGGGATGCAGAAAATCCTCTGCGGCCATGTTGTATGATTATGCGTATGATGTAAAAGATCCCTGGAGTGCCATATTGGCTCTTTGCATTTCCGAAAAAATTAAATTCCTAGTGCACTTAAGCATTCAAATAGAGTCTCAGTGCTGCCATCTAGTGTGGCAGAAACTAGACGTCCAAATTAACATGGTCAACGGTATCTCACCGATTGTGGTGGTCCTGAAAGTGTGGATACCACTTCTGGAGAACACACTATGTCTGCTCATCAGGAAGACTGATTGCGCAGCTCATAGGAAATAAAAGAAATATGTATATAAATTACAGTTTTGTATAAAAGTTTTTCAAAAATTCTACATACTATGAAAATAAAGCTTTTAGTGATTTGAGAAAGGGACTCACGATAAATTTTGTTCTGGGGGCCGCAAAACCTTTGTTCAACTTTGCATGCCAGATTTAAATGTAACTGCTTAATTTCAACTGACTTTTGTAGTTTACCTATTGGGCACCAAAGTTCTTATTTCAGGAATATGTTCTTTTTGTATAAAAAAGATTAAGACTTATAAAGCAAAAAATTTTTATCCACCATAATACATTCATACTTACTTTAAATAACCTGATTATCATTTCCCTTAGAACAGCTGTAACTTATACAAAAATATATGTGACATATGATACGAGCCATACTTTCCCTTTTCAATAACAGCATTTTTTAAATCAAGAAAAAAAAATGTGTCAGAACTAAAAATAGTTAAATAGTTGAAAGAAACCTTATACCTTCTATATTATAAAAATTTTATTTTACCTAAATTCATCATGTTATTTCTTCTAAAACAAATGCCAAAATTAATTCATTCCTCAACAAAATAATGCTCCTAAACGGTGTTACAATTATTTGAAATCAAAAGAAAAGTAAAAATTCCTTATAGTAATGCCATGGCCTCTGCAATCATCAGACCTCAATACGAGTAAGCAGCAGTGGGAACAGTTGGCTTGTCAACAGATTCGTAGAATAGCTCAAAAATTACTCTTCAATAGTAATGACTTGATTGTACCAATGTTAAAAATACACATGGAAAAATAATAGCAACAAAACACTGCAGAATTCCGTCTTCGAAGATGTAATACTTACAAAAGGCGGCATATTGATGAAAGCAAAGTAAAATAAAACAGCTTTTGTGATCAATAATGACACCTTACATTTATATTTTGTTGGAATATTCAATGCACGGTATAAGTAAATAAATTTTCTTTTAAATTTTCACTGTATTAAGTATTTTTTCTTAAGAAAAGACTTTTGCACGCCAGTGTATATATATATATATATATAACTATATATATATATATATATACATACACTGGCATGCAAGTCTTATATATATATATATATATATATATTTTATAATTTTTCCACGCTTTAACC